TTTTCATGCTGTGACGTAGTGCTGTTATTGGTCAGATTTGTGGAGGGTCGAATCAACATCCTACTTTCACTACCAACAGACTTTCTGAAAATCTTTATGCTTCAGAACTGCATCAATGGCGTCATTGCCCTGGTAAACTCAGTCCTGCAGTCCATAAAGTGAAACCAGATGGAATTATTTCGAACTGCTACTGGTTAAATGGAGCAGAACTGCACTGTCAGAAGATCTGTGGTAAGATATTCCGATATCAAAGTTCACTCCTACTTCTGATGTGACTTGTGAAATACCAGCTGAAACCACCATGTCAGCTGTGTTGATTGGAAAAGTAACCGTCAGTTCATAAACGTTTCTCATTACTCATCTTTTGTTAATGTTTTGTTGAACGGATTAGTTCTTATGTGCAGCGGTTCATTCGGAATTGCAGAGGAAGATATATAGATTGGCCAATTGGATGTTTAAGAAAATTAAGGAAGATTAAGTCTATTCAAAGAGAAGCATTTCCAGCCAACCTCTTCAATTCAACTGCTGGTTAACCTGTTGGAACGAAAAGTCGTTTGAAGACTTTAACATCTTTCTTGGTTGAAAGAGACATTCTCCGGGCTGGTGAAAGAATTGACTGTGCCAGAATTTGTCTTGTCAAGCATCCGGTGATTATTCGTTAAGATCATCAGCTGTGTCTGTAACGTAGTCTAAACGAGACCGTAGAATGATAACACAACGGTTTTAATAAAGCTCATAAAAGCCCGCCATTACTAGCCGTAATACAACAACTACATCCGGGATACACCTCATTCTACTGCGCAAGCCCGAAGGGCCTATGACATCACAACATCGTTACATCTCCCTTCTTGAACAAACAAAACAAAGAAATGAAGGGACGGTAAGGTAGGCAATAGACGGATGGACAAGTGATTAAACAAAACAAATCTAACAGTGTTCACTGTTCAGAACTGTTCGAAAAACCTTTACAATGGATTCCTAGGTGGTGAAATCCTTGAGGTAAGCAGGTCTCCTAACAATCCTGCCACTTCTAGTAGAGACATGGGCGGGAATAGTTTGCGAAGCTGACTGTAAATCTGGCTGCGAAACATCTGGTAACTGCAACGCTGAAGGTTCAGGGGGCACCTGGAGTGTCTCCTCAGTAGGTTTCCTGGCGGGGAGTAGAGTTTGAGCATTGACCTTCGATTCCCCTATGTCTTCGTCTGGCATCGCTTGAAAGTCCTCAGGAACTTTGTAAAGATGTGAACGGTTTCGGCGGTAGAGCCTACCATCCTCTGTGCGGACTTGATAGGAGCGTGCAGCTTTCCGACTACTCACTTGCGCTTTAAACCATTTTGAATGACCTGGTAACGGTCGGACACGCACCACATCGCCATCTTTTAACGGTTGCAGCTCTTTAGAACCTCTGTTGAAGGAGAGTGCTTGCTTCTTTTGCCTCTGTTGCAAATTCAGGTGTACATCGGGAATGCCTTTTGGCTGAAGGAGGTGGCTAGCTATGGGTAGTGCGGTACGGGTTCTACGCGAGAAGAGACGCTGTGCAGGGGTGCTGTCCATTCCTTCTGATGGTGTATTCCGGAAGTCCAGTAGAGGCAAGTGTGGGTCATGGCTTGCATCAGCAGCTTTTAACAAGATATTCTTTGCTGTTTTGACACTGTTCTCAGCTCTCTGTTCTCTATTGTTGGATTGAGGAGCCGTGGAGACGTTTTAACGTGTTCAAACTGGTACTCGGCTGCAAACTTCTGAAACTCAGCACAGTCGAACTGTGAGCCGTTGTTTGTGGTTAGTCGGTCTGGAATACTATATCTTGGCAGATGAGGTTTCAGCTTGTTAATAACCGCTCTGGCTGTCGTAGACGTCAGTATATCCAACTCGAAGAAATTACAATAGCGGTCAGTTGTAATCAAGTACTGGGTGCCATTGAGCTCGAACAGGTCTGCTGAGATGCTCTGCCATGGTCGTGCAGGTATTTCGTGACATTTCAGAGGTTCTTTCTGCTGCTCTGGTTTGTAGCTGTTGCAAATGCTGCACCTTGAGATGAATTGTGTGATTTGCTTGTAGATGCCTGGCCAGTAGAAGGCTTCTTTGGCTCTCCTGAGGCACCCCTGAATGCCCAGGTGACTGGCATGTACTTTATCCATCAT